ACACCATAAGCAGGATGTTCACTCTATAGCCTTAAATTAGAAAATGCAAAACGGGGCCAGACTTGTACTTCTTAACCAGTCGGATACCTCCTTCAAGCAAAAGAAATTTGAGGCTGCACACAGGCAGCCTATAGGTAGAAAATAATTGATAAAAGCAACGTTTTTTAAACATTGTGGGAGATGAAGGTGTGTACTGCTGCCCACTGGATGTGCTGATGAGGAAGAAAGCGATGAAAAGGCCTTGCCTGTCACCCTGAGAAACTCCTTGGGTGCATGGGTTGGCAGGATGTACCAGTGTCTTCAATGTGAAAGCACCACCAGAGATCTCCCTGCGCTCTTCCCCCTGGCATGGAGTTGGGGGCAACACTGCAGGAGTCAGTCAGTGAGCTGCTCTTGTTGAAGAGTAACCAAGATCATTAAGTCAGTATTGAAATACCGTGTCTGAAACTGTCCCGCTTGGTTTTAGTAGTCTCACGGCGGATTTGTTGCAGTTGCAGAGTAGTACTGCCTCTGCTCTAGTACTACGGGGTAGTACTACCTCTATCATGGAGGTACGCTGCAGGGGCCGAGCCTTTGGAGCTTTCAGCATCTTCAGGAGCTGCAATCATGTCACTAGGAATGGCACGCAAAAAGCAAAGCTGCCGGCTGATGTGGGCTGAGCAGTTTCTAGGGCTTCGGTGATAAGTTGCGTGCTACATTGCCTAGCACAGCTTGGTGCATCACTGTCTTAGTGGCAGACTGCTAGAGCTAAATTTTTGAGCAGTCACTGTTACAATGTCAAATGAACAAGCTACCAGCCTTCACTTTTGTAAATCAGCAGGCAGTGTTTCTTTCCCTTTCAGCTCTTGCACATCTATGAAAGTAGGTCAAGAGAGGCAACACCAGCATAGTTTGTCTTTCTCTTAGAAAGCTGGTTGTAAACTTTGTGATTCGCTGGAGAACATTCATTAGTTTTGTGGCTGTTACCACTTTTGTTTTTGCATTCGAAATGTTAATCACGTTCCCTAGTGGGTAGCAGCCAAACGCAGCTATTACAGAGTAATAGATCACAGGAATCATTGCACTCATAAAGAGAGCATATCTTTTATATAAAATTTAAATATTATACTACATGAGCTCATGTCTTCAGTCCTCCCTCGGGCAGAGTCCCCAAGCTGGTAGGCAGTCTCCAGGAGCTCATCTAATTCAGGCTAGTCTGCATACTTAATTGGCTAACGCAAAGAGTTTGAGAACACTTTTTGTTTGCCTTTCCCCCCTCCCCTTCTGTCTGAATAATTTCTTTAAGTCTGATGAGTGCATTGTGGTCTGCTGAATGTTTTTCCAAGCGTGAGTCCCAGGCTCTTGGTCTACAGGGCTAGCCCTCAGCTGTTGCAGTCTCTGGAGGAATGGCATTATCCTGGCCTCCTTTCATGGGGACTCTGTCTGAGCAGTGACTCATACAAGAGGGAATCCCTGAAGAATGATCAAATCAATCCTTCAGCAGGGGAGGCAGTGGCTTGGTACTTTTAGCTTAACCCCTTACTGGCTGTTTTTCAGCCAAGAAGCAGATGGAACAGGCAAAACGCACTTTGCAGCCTGCACCTCTGCATCTTTGTGTTTGGTTTGTGTGGTGGGGTTTTAGTAGCGGGGGAGAGGTGACAGGGTTGACTCCCTAGAAGCTGCTAGAACCTGCCCTGGCTCCAAGTCGAACCCGACTCTGGCCAAGGCCAAGTCAATTAGTACCTCTGTGATTAACATATTTCAGAGAGGAAAGCAGAGACCTGCAGTGGAGAGGAATGAGATGTGAGAGAGACAGCCAGGCGGGCACCAAGGTCAGTGCAGAAAGGCAGGGGAGGAGGGGTCTGGAGCAGAGGTTCCCCTGCAGCCCATGGTGAGAGGGCAGGCTGTGCCCCTACCCACATGGAGGGTCACAGACACCCGCATGCAGCCCATGGAGGAAGGGAGGACTCCACACCAGATCAGGCAGCTGCACCCACAGGAGCCCATGACTCTGTGGGAAGCCCAGGCTGGAGCAGGCTGCTCCTGAAGGACTGCACCCCATGGAAGGGTCCCATGTGGGAGCAGTTTGTGAAGAACTGCAGCCCGTGGAAGGGCTCACGTTGGAGAAGTGGGTGGACTGTCTCCTGTGGGAAGGACCCCATGCTGGAGCAGGGGCAGAGTGTGAGGATCCTCCCCTGAGTAGGAAGGAGCAGCAGAGACAACGTGTGATGGACTGACCACAACCCCATTCCCTGTCCCCCTGTGCCCCTCAAGGGGAGGAGAGAGAAATCAGGAGCAAAGCTGAGCTCAGGAAGAAGTGAGGTGTGGGTTATAAGAGCTGGCTTTGATTCTCATTGCCCTACTCTGATTTCATTGATAACAAATTAAATTGATTTTTTCCACAAGTCAAGTCTCTTTTCCCCATGACCATAACTGGAGAGCGATCCCTCCCTGTCCTTGTCTCATGAGCCACAAGCTCTTCCCGATATTTTCTCCTCCTCATCCCACTGGGGGAAGGAGTGAGCAAGTGGCTATGTGGTGCTTAGCTGCTGGCTGGGCATAAACCCCAGTAGTCTCATAGAGGAGGAATGAAGCAGCTGAGGGATGAAGGCAAATCTCACTGAAAGGACCATGGGAGGAGCTCTGTGAGGATAGCTGCTGGCTGGGCATAAACCCCAGCAGTTTCATAGAGGAGGAATGAGGCAGCTGAGGGATGAAGGCAAATCGCACTGAAAGAACCATGGGAGGAGCTCTGTGAGGACGTCCTCTGAAAGGAGAACCCCTCAAGGTGTAGTCCAGCACTCAGGCACCCTCTTAGATAAAGAAGGAGTCTGTTCAAAAGTAGACTAAAATTTGTTCAGGCCTTTTACAGTACCATAAGTCATCATGTGTCGAAATGAGTCCTTATTTTATGGGATTTTGGTCCATGTTTTATTGCTTGCACATCAGACCCTGTTTTCTAGTGATGAACAATGATTTAAAAGGACCATCCAAGAAACCTAGTGGTATTAAAAACATGAACGCTGAATGTGCTTTGAGAGGTTCACTCTTTTAAATTCAGAATTTCCTTAGACTTCACGGTGACTTTGGCTCTTGCAAATTACACTAACAATTGTTTTTCTTGTCTTCTTTCACTTTCTGTCTTTGTAGTCATGCTTTTCGCTTCCCGAGCTTCAAAAGGGTCTTTGTGATTTTGCGTGTCATGGTTGTTGGGTGCCAGGTTTAGGACGTCCAATACCAATCTGGTTTTCATCAGAAGAATTAGTACTTTCTAAAATATAACTAAGTCTTCAACTTCTTACTGGCAAGGGTCCTTGATGTCTGTCCACTGCTATTCGCTGGGGAAGCAAAGTGTGTGTTTTAGTCACAAAAGTAGATGGAATGATGTTTGTAAGCTGTGGGAGGAGGTGTTTGGCTAGGAGGGACAAAATGTTTTGTGTTGAACACCCGTATCTGCAAGAGCATAGATGGCGATCTGGA